CATGCTTTCGAACCACTAGGTTGGCGGGAGCTGGGACAAGCGACGGGCGCTCACTCCGTCACGTGGATTCGATCTTACGACTGCTTGGTCTTCTGACCCTGCAGCACAGGCTTCTGCGGTTTAGCCCGCAGCGCCACCACGTTCCTTTTCGAGGAAACACGGTATCAAACAGCCCCCACTCCGAAATATATGTGCTACCATACTTGACCACTAGAGGGGACCAGAGACTAGATTATATTTAGTGTTTCTCTACCTGTACCCCTTTACGGATTGCTGCCTTGTCGTGGGGAAGGGTCTTGAGTAATTCAGAGAAGCTATGGGCTATGCCGTGCAGGGACACCCAAGACGGACAGGTCATAGAGGAGAGTTCTGACTAAACGCGATCCACTTGGAGCAGGAACTGGCAATGCCACTCTAGTATCTTTGCCAAGAAAACTCCTTTGACAAAAACAAAAGGCTAAAAGATATGATGCTGGAAGATGAGCCCCTCATGACGGAAGGCATCCAACATGCTACTGAGGAAGAGTGGAGGAGAAGTACAAGTAGCTCCAGAGCTAATGAAGTGGTTGAGCCAAAGCCGAAAAGATGCTCAGCTGCGGACGCACCTGGAAGTGAAAGGAAAGCCTGAGGCTACAAAAAAAGAAAAAGAAAAAAATACTGCATAGGAACCTGGAATGTAAGATCTATGAACCTTGGTAACCTGGATGTGGTCAAACAGGAGATGGCTAGAATAAACACTGACATCCTTGGTGTCAGTGAACTAAAATGGACGGGAATGGGCGAATTCAATTCAGACAATTACCATATTTACTATTGTGGGCAAGAATCCCGTAGAAGAAATGGAATAGCCCTCATAGCCAACAAAAGAGTGGGAAAAGCTGTATTGGGATACAATCTCAAAAATGATAGAATGATTTCAATACAAATTCAAGGCAGAACTTTCAACATCACAGTAATCCAGGTTTATGCACCAACCACTGATGCTGAAGTGGCTGAAATTGACCAATTTCAACACTTTCTAGAACTGACACCAAAGAAATATGTTCTTGTCATTATAGGGGATCGGAATGCTAAAGTAGGGAGTCAAGAAATAAAAGGAACAACAGGGAAGTTTTGCCTTGGAATTCAAAACAAAGCAGGGCAAAGGCTGATGGAGTTTTGTCAAGAGAACAAGCTGGTCATCACAAACACTCTTTTCCAACAACACAACAGGCGACTCTACACATGGACATCACCAGATTGGCAATACCGAAATCACATTGATTGCAAGTAGGAAAAATCACTGGGCTAGTTGGGTATAATCTAAACTAAATCCCTTATGAATACACAGTGGAAGTGAAGAACAGATTTAAGGAAATAGATTTGGTGGACAGGGTGCCTGAAAAACTATGGATGGAGGCTCGTAACATTGTACAGGAGGCAGCAACAAAAACCATCCGAAAGAAAAGGAAATGCAAGAAAGCAAAGTGGCTGTCCAACGAAGCCTTACAAATTGCAGAGAAGAGAAGGGAAACAAAATGCAAGGGAGAGAGGGAAAGTTGCAGAAAATGGAATGCAGACTTCCAGAGACTAGCAAGAGGGCCTTCTTAAATGAACAGTGCAAAGAAATAGAGGAAAATTCGAAAGGGAAAAATCGGAGGTGTGTTCAAGAAAATTGGAGATAATAAAGGAACATTTTGTGCAAAGGTGAACATGATAAAGGACAAAAATTGTAGGGAACCTCACTGAAGCAGAAGACATCAAGAAGAGGTGGCAAGAATACACAGAGGAATTATACCAGAAAGATCTGGATGTCCCGGACAACCCAGATAGTGTGCTTGCTGACCTTGAGCCAGACATCCTGGAAAGTGAAGTCAAGTGGGCCTTAGAAAGCATGGCTAACAACAAGGACAGTGGAGGTGATGGCATTCCGGTTGAACTATTTAAAAATCTTAAAATACGACACTGTTTTATCCTAAAAGGCGCTTGGCTTGGTTTAAATATGCTTGTTTTTAAAGATGTTCTGTTTAGAAGGTGTTCCCTCCCCCCTCCCTCCTTTCCTGCCCTAAATTCATCTTAGGTCAAAAGAAGAAGAAAAATTCTGCCCCTAGTGGTAGAGTATGGATTAAATGGCCTTGCATTAGTTCTAATGCTTTGACGTACGAACCATGCCTTGACATAAGGACAAAAAACAGCCAGAATGGATTAATCAGTTTTCAATGCATTCCTATGGGAAATGGTGCTTTGACTTATGAATGTTTTGACTTACGGCCACCATTCCAATACTGATTAAGTACATAAGTCAAGGCACCACTGTAGAAGGGGAAGATATGGAGGCTGTGACAGATTTTAATTTCCTGGGCTCTATGATCACTGCAGATGTTGACAGCAGCCACAAAATTAAAAGACTTCTGCTTCTTGGGAGGAAAATGATGGGAAACCTTGACAGCATCTTAAAAAGCAGAGACATCCCCTTGCTGACAAAGGACTGCATAGTCAAAGCTATGTGGAGCTTTGTCGGCAAGGGGATGTCTCTGCTAGTAGCGATGTATGGAAGCGAGAGCTGGACCATAAAGAAGGCTGACCACCAAAGAATTGATGCTTTTGAATTGTGGTGCTGGAGGAGACTCTCGGGAGTCCCCTGGACTGCAAGGAGAACAAACGTATCCATTCTGAAGGAAATCAACCCTGAGTGCTCACTGGAAGGACAGATCCTGAAGCTAAGGCTCCAATACTTTTGTCCATCTCATGAGAATAGAAGACTCCCTGGAAAAGACCCTGATGTTGGGAAAGTGTGAAGGCAAGGGGAGAAGGGGGCGACAGAGGACGAGGTGGTTGGATAGTGTCATTGAAGCTACCAACATAAATTTGATTAATCTCCAGGAGGCAGTAGAAGACAGGAGGGCCTGGTATGCTCTGGCCCATGGGTTCACGAAGAGTCAGACATGACTTAACGACTAAACAACAACAACATACCTGTGCTTTTCAGCATCTGTGAGGAGGGCTTAGAAGTCTTCCCCTGTGGATACAGCGGTCCTACTGTAGTCTCAAGAATATTCATTACTAAATATTAACCAAGCTAACAAAACAGCAACAACACACTGAATACATATTGGTTATTATCTATAAAAGGTAAAGGTTCCCCTTGACATTTAGTCCAGTCGTGTCCTACTCTAGGGGGCGGTGCTCATCCCCGTTTCCAAGCCGTAGAGTCAGCGTTTGTCCAGTTTCCGTGGTCATGTGGCCAGCGCAACTAGACATGGAATGCCGTTATCTTCCTACTGTGGTGGTACTATCTACTCACATTTGCATGCTTTCGAACTCCTAGGTTGGCAGGAGCTGTGACAAGTGATGGGAGCTCGCTCTGTCACTTGGATTCGATCTTACAATGGCTGGTCTTCCAACCTTGAAGCACAGAGGCTTCTACCGTTTAACCCGCAGCACCACCACATTCCTTATTGTCTATACACATCACAAAAAAGAAGAAAAATCTTTATGTTCCCTAAATGGCTTATGCCCTAGATCATTTGTTCATAGAGTCAATTAGAGGCCAGGCAAGCCTGAACAAAATCCTAACTGGCATGCAGGACAGAGTACAAGATGCAAGAGGTATTGAACTAGCTATAGACAATAGCCACAAGACTCTCAGACTGGAAGTGGAAAATTGCCAAAGAGGTCCAGCAAAGTAACATCCAATTGTGGAAGAGCAAACACCTCCAAAAATGAAGGGTTATTTTTTTAAAAAATTAAAGTCTTGTTGCCAAAGAATAAATGTGGTCCCAGGAAAGATAAATCTTATCTCTCAGATGCTCCAAGTTCTTGCAGGGTCTCAAGAAGCATATGGGCTTGTAGACACGGATTACTTGGACCTTCCAAAGGCTTCTGCTAAAGTCTCTCATAAAAAATACCATAACACAAATACTATAAATAACAGATTTTCTTACATAGGTCTGAACTTCTGGCTCTTCATACTATTTGAAATGCAGTTTCCATCAGCCTTAGGAAGCTGAGCCCATGGTAATATGTGATGAACATCTGCATTCATCTCCTCTGAAAGGCCAAAAGTTCCCCCATTCTTGATCAAATGCCTTACTCCTGGATCTCATTGATGAGATTCACAATCTGGTCCCAAACATACTGATCCAGAAGTAAATGAAGTGAACAAAGTGGAGCTCAGTTCATAGTAAGAATATTACAAAATAAATAAATAAATTTTAAAAAAATAGAACCATTTTTGACCCAAGCACTGTCTGTACTGGCATGATCCTACACTTGGATTTACAGATGTGTAAAATGAAAAACAAAATCTAGAATTACTTATGAAATACTGAACCATGCATCATTTAAAACACACACACAGAGCCATTGATCTTCACTGTGCTCCTGATGGCACAATTGACGTTCCTTATTCACTGCTACGTTTAGAAAGAAACTGAAAACAGAAGAGACCTCCTCAGCAACTACAATTGGGCTCACAGAAACAGCTTGGCATCTGCCGGCACATCTTTAGCAAGTTGGCAGCCTCAATGCCCTTTGCAGGTTGCAATCAAACCTGCCTTCTACAGAAGCCTCTTTCTGGCTGATTAACTTTAATGTAATTTTAATTAAAAACCACAGTGTCAAAGGGTTTAGCTGCTCGAGAAATAAGCACAGATTGTGGCACAGTGGCAGCAGTCACTTGGAAAATGGAAATGCATCCTGACAATATTGTATAGGGGCCAGATAAACAAAGCTGCAGCTCTCTTATCTTGCAGTGACCGGGGCACATTACAATAGCAAGGAGCACGTATATCTCACAGGTCCATGTACAAATCTGACAGTTCAGGTGTCAGATGTTTCTCACAGTTTCAATGCCCCATTGTAAAGATACTGTATATATTTTAAAGGAAACCTCTGTCAACTGTTTTCTTCAATGATATATCCAAGGATATAAAATGGATGTTTGTGCCATGTTTCTGGTTTGTGTTTCTGAAGTCACTAAGATTTTCTACATAATCTAGAATAATAATCCTTCCCCTTAGGCAATGAAGAAGAAACAATAACAAGAGAATACCGATCAGCATCTTTCTCCTGTCAAGTCTGAAATTCTGTATGGGGATCTTGTCTTCTTATCTTTGGGCTGTTCTTGTCAGAACACGCAGGTAGGTAGGTAGGTAGGTACTGTGTTTCCCCGAAAATAAGACAGGATCTTATATTAATTTTTGCTCCAAAAAAACCCATTAGGGCTTATTTTCAGGGGATGTTTTATTTTTTTTAATGTACAACAATCTACATTTATTTAAATACAGTCATGTTATCTTCTTCTGGTTCTGCACAAAGCTGCACAGTGGTGGAGGGTGGGGTTTCACTTAACTAGGGCTTATTTTTGGGGCAGGGCTTATATTACAAGCATCCTAAAAAATCATACCAGGGCTTATTTTCAGGTTAGGGCATATTTTTAGGAAAACAGGGTGGGTAGGTGGGTAGGTGGGTAGGTGGGTAGGTGGGTAGGTGGGTAGGTGGGTAGGTAGGTAGGTAGGTAGGTAGGTAGGTAGGTAGGTAGGTAGGTAGGTAGGTAGGTAGGTAGGTAGGTGCTCTTCATTATTCTGAAACAAATATTATGGTACATTTCTGAAATGAAAATGGAAATTATTTTTCTTGTTAGAGAAATTAAATTGCAGTATAAATAATTTCACGGCACACAGAAACCCTTCAGGCACAGCAAGTATATATAGCTCCTTTGATTTTACAGATCTGTTAAAAAAACATTAATTCCTACTTAGCTGTGTTGAAATGCCTCGTGCCCATAAAGATAAAAATAAGAGTGTGTTGTTCTTAGCCTTTTCATTGAGGCAATTCCATTTGGTTGTGCTCAGTTTCAGTAATAATCAGAATTCAACAATTTATGTGAAGCCTGAATAGTTTTCTGCACATGTTAAGTTTATATGATTATACTCGTCTTTTTTAGAAGTACAAAAACACCCACTTCTTTCACTGAAACAGATCCTCAGGGGTGAAGTAGCATTGTACAAGTGATGACGTTGCAATGATTGATAAAACTTCTAAGAGAGCTATGTTGTAAAGAAAGTATTTGCACGCAGGCATAATGTGACCACAGGTACTGTGATAACCTCTGCTGCCTTTGTTCTTTTCCTTTGTAAGCTACTACAAGATGCAGCTCAAGTATGATCATTCCTGCTGCTTATGAACACACATAACATGCACACATGAAGTTTAAAAAAGGAGCATTTGCATAAAAAACGAATCAGTAGATAATATCCAATAACTTTTTTTTAAAAAAATTCTAATTGTGAAAATATAACTACTCTTGCAGTTTGCTCATTCTCAGAGTACACCAATGGAAACCAGTGGAATTTACATTAGTCATAATCATTACTAACTTTGCATCCACTGATGTCAGTAGCTAGTTTAAGTGAGACCAAGTCATGCTCCCAACCTTTAAGTTAAGGCTCTGAGTTGCAAAACTAAGGGACCAAACAAAGATACGTTCTGAGTTGTGTCTATTGGATATTTCTTGCAGAAAGCAGAATATTTTGTTTCATCAGAAGAACTGATAACCTTCTGAGCCTGGGAGCATTACCAATGGTTATTTTTGTGTTCTGGAGGAGAGTTTCATGCATTTCCCTCCCTCCTTCAGATTGTTGGGGCATTTTAGAACAGATGGTGCCTATACAGGTGGGACAGTTTCCATCTGAACAGAAGGGTCACAAATGTACTTACTGAGAGGATAGACAGAGCTATGGGGGAGAGTTTAAAGCAGTAGGCAAGGGGATGGGAACTTTATATAAAACCCATCAGTGAGGAAGAGGCTGCTAAAATAAGCAGATGGATTGATCGTGGGGTGGGAGAATAATGAATGCTGAAATTGCCTTTCATAACCAAAGAGATATTGTGTCAGAACAGCCTAATATAATACTACAGAATGTCATTCAAAATCATGTGCAGAATAATTGGAAAACACCAAACCTAACAGGATGTCCCAAGAAAGAGAAGTAAAAGCAGTATTCTGTGCATGCCACATTCTACTGCATATGTTGAAGAGGGATAAACAGGTATGATGTGATTGAGAAAAAGGATAACTGTGCCGCATTGAGCAAGGGGTAGTTCACACATTGACACTTCTGGACAGATAGAGGCCCACATTCATATCCATACCTCCATAGAACAATATCCATGGATATTAGCCAAAATCCTGTTGAGCAGTTATGCAAAAGGTATACTTTTTAGCAACAAATTTCAGTAAGTTAAGAAATCTCTGCAGACATTATCTGTTGCATGTCAAGTCTGCATGCAACAGATAATGCCTATGGAAATTTCGTAACGTACAGTTACTAAAAGTACTAAAAGTTATGCCTTTTGCATAACTGCACAACAGAATTTTAACCATTCAGCTAAGGGCAGTCCACTTAATAATTGATAATTACTTGCCATCAAGTTGATTGCCACTTATGGTGACCATTTCCATTTATATCTAAAGTACCAAAGGTAGTGTGACATTTCCTTTTTTTGTTGTTGTTCAGTTTTTCACTTAATCTGTTCCTCTGCCCATCAACATAACATAAATCATAAATATAATCACAGAATACCTAAATGTACAAATTTTCCTCTTGGAAAATCTAGATATTTCATTTTTGTCATGATTATCTGACAGAGTGATTGATACCAACATACCATATTTTTCCGTGTATAAGATGCCCCCATGTATAAGACGGCCCCCACTTTTCTAATCCAAAATTAGAATTTAGCTATGCTTGCACTAATTCTCTTTTCAGCACAATTGTGAAACATACAAGAGCCCATCCTCTTTTTTTTTAATGTAGCTCCCTATCATAAAGCAACATTAAATACTTTATCTCAAAACATCCACAGCATTGGACTGCTGTGGCTAAATCTTCTGTGTGTAGGATGTATAGCAGAGGTATTTTCTGTGACTTAAGTAGGATGCTACTTGTAGCCAAAGCAGGGTATTTTGCAACCCTGATTCTGACTTCTGCTGGCCTTTGAGGACTGTGTTTGCTACTCCTGCATTTACACCCAATTTTCTTCTACCTAAACAATATGGTCCTTATGTTTAGCAGCCCTGTCTCTGAAATCCTTTGGGGACCACAACCACTCAGTTTTGCCTCTCGATTCTCTCTGAGCTTGTGAACAAGGTTCTGAGGGTATTCCATATGGAGACTAGCGAATGGTGCTTTTATGATCGCCAAGGGATGATGTTTCCCTGAAGCCTTTTTATGTTTCCAAGATAAAGCCGCATGGCTGCCTCAAGCCTGTTTGACTCGCAGATGCAATTCTTTCCCATAACAAAGTTTCACTGTGAATCTACAGTGAAATGCCCCAGGGTCTAGGCCACACAACAATGTGGTGTGCATACAGCATTTCCCCACATGCATGTTAAGTCTTGCTTTGATGACTCAAGCCTTAGGTGTTTCACCTGACTAGTGAAAATATCTAATTGCATAAAATATAATACTGATCTGGAGGCTGGTTAAGGTACTAGATGAGAAACATGAAGGAGGGATGCATTAGAAGGATTCAAAGTATTAGAAAAAAAAATTACCTTTCTAAGGTGTGGCTGCTGGATTGCCCCAGCCAGCACACCCATCCTGCCTTAAGGATTCTGGTGGTTGAGGTCTGATAATAAATAAATAAATAACTTCACCAGGCTTTGCTTGAAAGGTAAAAGTGTACAGGTATAAGTGGCCTTTGGACTGCTAGCTAATCTGAACAATGGCTCTGAGCTGCAGGGATCTCATCTACCCCTTGAGCTGAGTAGCCACATTTTGCTCACCCCAATGTACTGAATCTGAAGGAATATTGCCATGTGCTTCTGGTTGCTTTAGTAAGTGTAAAATCACTCAAAAAAAAAAAAAAAGCAGGTCTTCTAAATTCTAGGCCAGAAAAACCTACTAGAACAATGGTTCCTTACATTGGGTCCCCATATATTCTTATACTGCAACTTCCAGAAGTCCTTGCCAGTGCAGCTAGCGGAGATCTGGGAACTGCAGTCCAATAACGCCTGGGGACCCAAGGTTGGGAATCACTAGTAGGTTTTCTGGCTGAGAACTTAGAAGACCTGCTTTTTCAAGTGATCGTTCGAACAAGTAACTTCTCAAACTTCTGTTCCAGCCTCGTGATTGTTCCTGAACCCAACATAATACTGTCGACATTGTTACTGGGAATCCATGAAGGCCTGGGCCATGCTCCTGTGTGTATCTAAAGCAATATCTTGGTCTTGATGTCAAGTAATCAGACGGCGATTAGCCAAATGGAAGGCCACCTGGATGGTTACAGCTTTTTATTGGCATCCCAAGTTTCTATAATCTTTCATTTCAATTAATGGTTCTATAGCAGCACACTCTGCTGTTATTTGGGATGGAAGGCTTATGTCTCAGTCACCACCTTCAGAAAGTCTCTTGTAAACTAATTATCGCTAACATACCTGTGTAGTAGGCAACTGACATTCACCTACTCTGTAAATGAGCAGTTGATTGTGAAAAATTAATTGGGAACTTTTATTTTTAAAAATGCAGAAAATAAGAATTTAATAATTATGCTGGCTTGAATTAAAGCATCACAAATGATGCATCTAATTGAAAGTGATTAATGCTGACAATGAAGTCTTGCTATCTTCATGTTTTTACCATCATGCATAGTGGATGACTCTGGGATACATATGTGGGGAAATGTTTCACGCTGCCCTTTATGGGTTTGACACCTTGAACTGAGTGCCAAAACAGCTGGCGAGGGTGTGAGAGTTTGTGCAATTAGTGAAATTGAACCTGCTTTATTTTGTGGGAAACATTTGCAATGTCGTTCCCAGTGACAAGAATTTTCTTCTGCTATATGACAATTCACCCTACCTGGCAACTAAAAAGAAAAAAGGAATATCCATCCAAATTGGCCAAGGACAAGGGTAATTTTCTGGAGTGGGTGGGGGGAATAAAAGGCCCAGAAGGGAAGTGATATGGCTTAAAACTGTGAAGATTGGGTGGTAGAGCTTTTTGACTTCAGTGGGAGTACACCTCCCACCCGTATTTTGAGCCTTTGGCCAAAATATGTGGGGCAGTTTTGCCTTCTATGTTCTTCTTCAGCTGATATATTGGCATCCATGTGGCAATAGGAGAAGTGCAAGAAAGAAAGAGAGAGAGAAAGAGAGACTGATACAAAGGAAGACAGACTTTATTTGCTTTTAATAGTTGTGTCAGACAAGAATTTCAGCAGATACAGCCTTTCCCAATCCTTCACATAAAACTTAACTTGCCAAAATTCTCACTTCCATACAACTAAAAATAATGGCTCCAGGCCCTGAAGCATTTTATTTGTTTATTTATTTAAACTATTTTTACCCCTCTTTTCTCCTTAAAAGGACCCAAAATGGCTTACGTCAATAAAAGACAGTATTTAAACAAATACCATACTAAAAAATGGGAAACAAGAGCAACATAAAGAAACACATTCAAGGGAATAAGACAAAACAACAGTGCTGTGGTAGAACTAGAGGTGACTTTGTTTTTTAAAACTACAACTCTGAGAATTACCCAGATAGCTTTGCTCTCTATGGGGTTTATGGGAGTTCTAGTCTGCAAAAATTGGATTTCCAAGTTGGTGTTAGATCTATGCACCTTGAGATGATATTTTCTTTTCTTTTTTGTATAGAGGAGTGTATTCAGAGGGAAGGTTGTGAAGATGATATTAATTTATTCAGTCCAACATTTTGCCATTCTAGAGTGGTACAGTCAGAACTTAACGTTGCATCTGCTATCTATAAAAACTAGGCCAGAGACATTCCATGAAATTCAGTAAGATTTCCTGGCAATTGACCTTGCTAGTTAGCATCTGATGTGTCCAGTTTAGCTTTGGTTTGAAGCTAAAAATCAGACTGAAATCAGTAACAACCTAGAATGTAGTGTGCACGTGTGTTAGTGGGTGGGTGGCACTCACAGTAAAACAGTACTTTATATATTTTCTCTCCCTTGTACTTGTTGCCAATTCAGGAACTTCCTATGTGGGTTTAAATGTTCAATTGTGATTCATTCTGGGAATACAAAACTCAGAAAGCCTAAGAGAAAAGTTACGGTACATTATGCATCTAATTTCAATCTCCTTTTTAGAACAGAATAAAATCCATCCTGTACAGCAGAAGAACCCTCAGGCATAATCCTGCATAACTATTAATACACAGTATAAAATATTCATTCATTCTCTCTCTCTCTCTCTCTCTGTGTGTGTGTGTGTGTGTGTGTGTGTGTGTGTGTGAGAGAGAGAGAGAGAGAGAGAGAGAGAGAGAGAGAGAGAGAGAGAGAGAGAGAGTTCTAAAGCAAAGTCACATCCAGGTCTCTAGTTTGACCTAAGCCTATTTTGACCTTGTTCTTCTTCCACACTGTCAACACCAGACTTTTCATATTCATCAGCCTTGCTTGTATGTGAAAAAGAAAAATGAAAAATTAGATGAGAAATGTGTTGGGTTCACTGGATCTTCTATGTATTAAACTTTTAAACAGTTTCTACATGAGGCACTTCCGAAAGCAATAAAGAATGCTATTTTTGCCATGTGTGAATGTTGTTTATACATTATTAGAAAATAGAAGCTAGTAAACCATTAAGAAATTAAAAGGGATATTCCAGTGTTGGGTCTGGCAGATCTCATATCTAGTTCTAAATTTCTGGATGAACAACAAAAGATGTTGGACTTTCACTTCTTTAACATTATCAGCAATTTAAAAACTCTCCACTTTGAGAATATACTGCTGAAATGAAGAAAATATCAGTGGCCAGAAATGAATAGTTATGTAGAAGATCCAAAGCTTAGAAAAATAATTTTTTGCAGCATAAACCTGCAGAAACACCCAACTGGAGGATCCTGGCACTAGCGGTTATTAAAAACAAAACAACTTAACCACAAAGTAGTTGTTTCATGTAGTGGTGGAATTTGGTGAGCTCCATTTAATTTAGGCACTCAAAATACACCCACCCATTGTTTTTAGGGTTTTTGCACCACATCCTGGTTGGTGACTTTTGGGTTCTAGTAAAAAAGCAAAGCTTGCAAACCTAAACTTTTCCCACTCCTATTCTAGTCAATACAACTTTTAGAAAGATGTTGTGACACCACTTGTTAAAATACTCTTGCTGGAGGCCATATTGACCCAAAGACTCTTATGTGAAATAATGGTTCCCAGCCTGTGGTCCATGGATACTCTGTAATAGAGCTTGCTATGTCTCTGTGCTGCTTTTTTTTCTTTCCAGTCCCAGAGTCAAAAAGAAACTTTGTGTTTCAGAAGCAATCCCTCTCTCTGTCTCTCTCTCTCTCTCTCTCTCTCTCTCTCTCTGTGTGTGTGTGTGAGAGAGAGAGAGAGAATCACAGAGTAACTGGGAAACCTTCTCAATCCAGCCATGCTGTAATGGATGATGTTTGAAATTGCACTCGCTCCTCAGATGACATTTGCAATCTGAGTCTAAAATCACCTCCCCAAGCAGACTTGGCACAAACATCTACCATGAATTTCTGGACTCTTGTTTTCTTTTTTTTTTTTTTTTGCACTGTCTGTGAAGTCATGGTGCTTATTGTGATAAAGGACACTCAGGTAATCCATAGGGAATTCCACAGTTGATTAGTGAGACCCTGCTCCTCAAGGGGAGTAAAATGGGTGAACAAATCATGGAAAAAAAGAGAAAAGTCACAATAGTACAACTGTGGCGGAATGCCCATATCCCACCTGTCTATCATGTGGAGCTCTAGAGGCGAAGCCTATGAGAGGACAGGGGGGCGGAGTCAGAAGGACCATTAGGGACAGTTGGGAGACTGAGAGTGAAGGAGATAGAAGGTTTTGAGACTTTTATCAGTTGGGAGACTGAGAGTGAAGGAGAGAGAAGGTTTTGAAACTTTTATGAGAGAGAAGGGAAAGTTGATGCGGTATAGTTGGTTTATGGATTAAAAAACAGGGAAAAAAATTGAAGTATAATAAATAGATAGGCATCTGACAGTATTCCAATGATTAACTGTTATTAATATGAAAAGTGATGCCAGTAAAGAAACTTGTTTAATACCCGAGCAATAAGTGCAACATAATAAAACATCTATGAAAAATACTTACAACAAAATAATAAATAATCAATTATATTTGAATACATGTGTCTTTGCAACATCTATGGTAAATTGTGGATCAAGATCCATTGGTGGCAATTGGTGAAAGAAGAAATAAAATGAGTAATGTCCAAAGGTGGACCTGGGTTTAAGGGAAACAAACTAGGGACACCGGGGGTGCACAACAACAACTTTTCCATTTCCCATACTTTTCTGTGCATTCAATAGGCTTGGGAGGGAGTACAACAAATTGAGAAGTAGCTGCATTTTAATACCCCTTAGTCAATAATTTTGACTCTCACTGCCCATCAGAAGTTATTTTTAAAATACCTTAAGTGTTTAAACAGCTTGCATATATCTTCTTCTTCAAAAATGTGGTCTTAGGACACCAACTGAAATCTTAGGGGGAATTACTGTAGGTCAGGTGAGGATGTAAATCTCAAGGCAAGAGATGCTAGAGGATGGAAAACTTTGATTTTATTGTACGTGATGACTTTAAAACCTGAGGGCCACAGAACAGCACATTGTAGTTGTATGTCTGTAGGACACATAATGGTTGTTTAAGAAATACAGTGGTGCCTCGCTAGATGATGATAATCTGTTCCACTGAAATCGCTGTTTAGCGAAATCATTGTCTAGCAAAAAGCATTTCCCCATTGGAATGCATTGAAACCTGTTTAATGCGTTCCAATGGGGAAGAATTGTCGTTGTCTAGCAAAGATCCACCATAGGAAAGCCGCTTTGTGAACCGCCAATCAGCTGTTTAAATCGCTGTCTTGTGAAGCTTGGGTCCCAAAAACACCTGTTTTGCAAGCATGGAGGAAGCTGTCAAAATTGTCGTCTAGCAAAAATTGGTTTGCGAAGCAGGGACAAAACATTGTCCAGCGAAATTCCCCCATAGGAATCACTGTTTTGCGAATCGCTATAGCAATTGCAAAAAGTCAATGTCTAGCAAAAAAACTGGTCATATGGGGTAACTGTCTAGCGAGGCACCACTGTAAATAGTTTAGGAAAACTAGACTGTTGTCTAATACAATCATGTTTCCACATATATATTATTTTCCATTTCTTACACAAGGGCCCTCCTGCTCATCTCAGGTCATGGCCCTAAAATCTCAGTTTGGGAAACTGTTGAATTGGCAAACCAACCTATTATAGAACAAATGAGAATAATGTCTCCAAGTTTAT